ATTTACCCCGCGTGTCCCATCCACCTCCCTCTAGGGATACAGACCAGCAACACTCAATCATCCATCATTAAAAGGGAACTATGAGGGGAGTGAAAATCAGCCTCATAGTACGAGCCGACATGTGACAAGATAACTGTCACAGGTCGGCTCAATAGATCGGGAAGTGAGCGAACACATACCGGCGCTCGCTCACTTCTCGATCTCGCTGCAGAGAGCCGTGACTGTCACTCACGGCTCCCTGCAGTGATTCTCCCCCTCCCCCCTCCAGCACTGACTGGCGGGAAGAATGGGGAGGGGGCAGGTACAGCGGGCTCTGTCTCTAGATAGGCGGAGCCAGCTGTCACTCACGCAGCTGGGCGGATCCAGACATAATTGTCGGGATCCGCTCCGGCTGCGGCGTCTCAGTATACCGCAGCTGTAGCTCCCTATATACTGAGCCTAGGGTGACGGGAGGGCGCTAGTTTGTGTCCTCCCGCTACCCTAAGGAGAACTATGGGGAAAAACACTGACCTCGGAATTCTCCTTTAAATCGCAGGATTCCAACTAGAAGAAATACCTTTAAGGTTTTTTTTATTCTGGTCAGGTGATCGTTCTTTGTTCCCAACCGCATGGGGTCGGTCCGTGGGCGGAGCAAAGCTGCAGATGGGCCGCTGTCACCCTACCCACTTTTTCTGCACTGCTTGGCCCCCGTCTGTGGGTGGGGCTAAGCCACGGTGGAGCCGCTGTCAATCAACCAGCTGGAGCTTCCTCTACAGGCGTTCCTGCCTGTGATCTGGGTATGAGGGAGATGCCACATAGAGCAGTGGTGGCGAACCTTGGGACTCCAGCTGTGCCAAAACTACAAATCCCAAGATGCATCTGCCTCTGGGAGTTACGTCTGTGGCTGTCAGAGCCTTGCAATGCCTCATGGGACTTGTAGTTCCAAAACAGCCGGGGTGCCGAGGTTCGCCACCACTGCCACAGAGCATGCACACAGGGGTAGCAACGCTGCAAAGGCCAAATCCACCCGCAGAGCGTCGCCACTGCATCTGGCAGGATGACCCGGTATTTAAAGGGCACACCAACTGTTTGGGAACGTCTAAGAAATACATTTGGGGTTTACCACCCAGCAGCCAATCATCTTTTTACCAGCGCAGCAATCCGATTGGCGGTTCTGATAAACCAATATTACACCAAGTCCAGCAGGGAGGAAACTCACCACTTTGTCAGCTTTGCTGTTGAGAATCTTCTCTTCGGCTCCGATCAGAGGCTTGTTATCGGCCATGCCGGATCCTGGGCGGAGAGAGGGGGGCGGTCAGAATTTCGGCGTATTCAGAAGTTGGCGGAAAGCTCAGATTTTACCCGGGAGGAGCAGCCATGTGGGAGGCGGAGCATCTCGGCAGTAATGCAGCAACGTGGCCTGTAAATCACCCGATTCGACCCCGACCCGCTCAATACGCAGACAGAGAGATGAGCGAGGTATTTGGGTCTCAGTCAAGCTGAGGTGGCGTTGTAAATGAATGAACGTCTCTTGTAATTGATGTGTCGATTGTGCAAATCCCTGAGTGAATCCCTGAGTGAATGAGTCAATATGAGAATGTCTGGAGGTTCATTCATCCAGGTCACATGGTACAACTGTAGAAAATAAGTCAAGGCAACTGGACTGGCTGTATTTTTCTTGAAGACGTTTCACTGGCCATCCGACCAGCTTTCTCATTCAGAATTGTACAAGTCATTCAGAATTGAGAAAGCTGGTCGGATGCAGGGGCGTATCTGCCGCGAGGCAAACAAGGCGTTTGCCTGGAGCGGCAGATTCGCTGAGGGCGTCACCGGGCCAATTGCAGAAGGGTTACAGACCTGGGTGTGATGAGGACTTATCTTCTACAGTTAATATGAGAACGGTGAATATCTGTATCTGGGAGGTCACACGTGGCAACCGTCCGGGATCTGATCTAAGGTCTCGATGAAGAGGTCACATCCCAGGTACACCGGCCATGTCTCAGGATATCCAGACGTCACTCTCTACTGTCTCACCTTCACTTTTGTAACTCTTCTAAACAAACTTTCCGAACCCTTCACATTGAGCAGAGGGGGTCACTTCCCTCATCGGAGTCATACCGTCCGACAGGAGGAATTCAATATGGTTGTCCAACACTTGCTAAAACCTTTCCCACCGACAGCACCCGGTCCAGAGTCTTCCGTCATCTGATTGGTCACTCCGTCACATTGCAGGCACCGCCTTCTCCTTCAGAAGGTGTGACCGCAGACCTCTCCATCGTACGAATTGTGCAGCGGGGGGTGCCGTCTTTCTGCTACAACCTACCATAGAAAACTCAACCCAAAATGAGTTCAGTCACCTGACCGATCTCGAGTCGTCTAATACTCCTGATCCGATCGTTACAATACTATCAGCGATCAATATATGATGTCATCGATCGGACCTCTTCCACCCCTCAAATATAAGTATGGCGGGCATACAGGATATAACATGAGATGCTACAGGAATTGCGCACATTGCGCGCGGCCTGGATGCTGCATTACGCACTCTCGCTCCGTCACGTGGCTGCAACTCGCCAATAATTAAACACACCCCCATCTATCCCACTCCTAAAATCGTACACAGATGGTCAGAGATTGGATGATAACCGGGATAAAAATGGGAGTAACACCCCTTCACCAGGAGGAAGTCAGCAACTCACCAAAAGATAGAGACCCCAAAAACCAGAATCAACCGATCACCACGAGCATTGATTAGATTGGAACGGGTCAGTCCGAGCAGAAGGCGATATTTCAGCGTTTGGTGGATTCTGTGGGGAATAAGTCACATGACTGTTCTCTCAGCGACTCCAACTGTGTTCCCGCGTCCGGTGGTCCCTCGGCCTGCTGGAAAGCAGCAGGAGGAGGAGGGGAGACACCCCAAAGGGGGCGGGAACACCACAAGGACAGGAGCTATTCGTTTAGCTGGAGTACCCCAAGAGAAGGCGACTGTCCACCAAGCCTCCGCCTACACCTGAAATATCACTTATCAGTAGACTGGCCCTTTAAGAGTGGAATTGCTGTCTTCAGCAGAAGGTAAAAAGGTTTAAACTTATGGAAGCCAAAGTGAGGTGACAGATGGAATGGGGGACAGTGCGAGAGAGCAACCAACCTAAAAAATAAATAAAAGGTTTGTGGAAGTTTCAGGATTCAAGTGTGAGCTCAACCAAGTCCCCGCCCCCTGCGACACGCCGCCGTGGTCAAAGCTTTCCAGTGACTCTGGCAGGAGGGAGGGTTCATGCAGCACAAGAGGGCGGTTACAGCAAGGCATTGTGGGAGTGCGAGTCCCTTCCCCATCCACAGAGCACCAATGATGGAGGGGGAAGGTCACATGGGCTACACAACGTGCAATGCGGTCCCGAGGCCTACAGACCTCGCTGTAAATAAAAACCGTTTAGGGGTACAGAGACACACACACTATATATACACATCACACACACACAGTATATACACATCATACACACACACAGTATATACACATCATACACACACACAGTATATACACATCATACACACACACAGTATATACACATCATACACACACACAGTATATACACATCATACACACACACAGTATATACACATCATACACACACACAGTATATACACATCATACACACACACAGTATATACACATCATACACACACACAGTATATACACATCATACACACACACAGTATATACACATCATACACACACACAGTATATACACATCATACACACACACAGTATATACACATCATACACACACACAGTATATACACATCATACACACACACAGTATATACACATCATACACACACACAGTATATACACATCATACACACACACAGTATATACACATCATACACACACACAGTATATACACATCATACACACACACAGTATATACACATCATACACACACACAGTATATACACATCATACACACACACAGTATATACACATCATACACACACACAGTATATACACATCATACACACACACAGTATATACACATCATACACACACACAGTATATACACATCATACACACACACAGTATATACACATCATACACACACACAGTATATACACATCATACACACACACAGTATATACACATCATACACACACACAGTATATACACATCATACACACACACAGTATATACACATCATACACACACACAGTATATACACATCATACACACACACAGTATATACACATCATACACACACACAGTATATACACATCATACACACACACAGTATATACACATCATACACACACACAGTATATACACATCATACACACACACAGTATATACACATCATACACACACACAGTATATACACATCATACACACACACAGTATATACACATCATACACACACACAGTATATACACATCATACACACACACAGTATATACACATCATACACACACACAGTATATACACATCATACACACACACAGTATATACACATCATACACACACACAGTATATACACATCATACACACACACAGTATATACACATCATACACACACACAGTATATACACATCATACACACACACAGTATATACACATCATACACACACACAGTATATACACATCATACACACACACAGTATATACACATCATACACACACACAGTATATACACATCATACACACACACAGTATATACACATCATACACACACACAGTATATACACATCATACACACACACAGTATATACACATCATACACACACACAGTATATACACATCATACACACACACAGTATATACACATCATACACACACACAGTATATACACATCATACACACACACAGTATATACACATCATACACACACACAGTATATACACATCATACACACACACAGTATATACACATCATACACACACACAGTATATACACATCATACACACACACAGTATATACACATCATACACACACACAGTATATACACATCATACACACACACAGTATATACACATCATACACACACACAGTATATACACATCATACACACACACAGTATATACACATCATACACACACACAGTATATACACATCATACACACACACAGTATATACACATCATACACACACACAGTATATACACATCATACACACACACAGTATATACACATCATACACACACACAGTATATACACATCACACACACAGTATACACACATCATACACACACAGTATATATACACATCACACACACAGTATACACACATCATACACACACAGTATATACACATATCACACACACACACACACACACACACACACACAGTATATACACATCACACACACACAGTATATACACATCACACACACACACACAATATACACACATCACACACACACACAGTATAATCACACACACATCATACACACACAGTATATATACACATCACACACACATCATACACACACAGTATATATACACATCACACACAGTATATATACACATCACACACACACATCACACACAGTATATATACACATCACACACACACAGTATATATACACATCACACACAGTATATACACATCATACACATACACAGTATATATACACATCACGCACATCATACACACACAGCATATACACATCACACACAGTATATATACATCATACACACACACATCATACACACACAGTATATATACACATCATACACACAGTATATACACATCATACACACACACAGTATATACACATCATACACACACACAGTATATACACATCATACACACACAGTATATACACATCATACACACACAGTATATACACATCATACACACAGTATATATACACATCATACACACAGTATATACACATCATACACACACACAGTATATACACATCATACACACACACAGTATATACACATCATACACACACAGTATATACACATCATACACACACAGTATATACACATCATACACACAGTATATATACATCATATACACACAGTATATATACATCATATACACACACACACATCATATACACATCATACACACACAGTATATACACATCATATACACATCATACACACACAGTATATACACATCATACACACACACACATCATACACACACAGTATATACACATCGTAGACATTTATAAAGCTGCTGAGAAATCCCCATTCTGTTCCCTATCCCAGTCTCTGTCTGCATGGAGTCAGTCACTGAGGGCAATCAGAGACGCATGAAGCGGGGACATGCCTCGTGTCGCTCTTTTCTTGGACACAAATTTCCTTTAAAAGTGGCTAAAAGAAAAAACTTAAATTGTTACAAAGTCACCAAATGAACGTTCTCGGGGTTTGCAGCTCACCCCCTATAACTACGGACACAGTATACAGGTCCCTTGGCTCTGGCCCGGCCTACTCTGTATTTAAAAGGAAATGTCTACCTTAAAGTGCACTTCCCAGACTCCACTACAGTGTTGTGAATATAGTTACATAGTATTTGGGGTTGAATAAAAGATATAAATCCATCAAGTCCAGTATATAGTCCATCCCATATAGTGGCCCACTTGGCCCTACTTCAGCCTCTGCAGTCCAGTGTACATAAGGGGAGAAATTACAGAGCAGCACCACCGTTCTTTACGGAGCTGGAGATATGGATGGCTGTGCTGCGGAAAGCTGCCTTGGGTACAATAAAGTCCTCTCCCCCCCCTCTGAAGCTACAAGCCCCATCATGTCCCACTACTTGACATACAGCACAGCCAGTCTACTGTAAAGTACCTTCCGATTCGCTGATCGCCGGGAATGTTTTGACCTGGAATGGCCGGACCAGTTTTCCTTCTCTCATCGGAGTTTCCTCGCTCTCCTCGGAGCTCACCCGCACGTCACCCTGCGACTCGGAGAAAGAGGATGTGAACTGGTCCATGTCCGCCCTCTGCTCCTGCATGAGTTCATCTGTACGGAGAGAGAGAAGAGCCGCCATGATACGCCTCGCACCTCAAGGAAACCGAGAAGCCGTACACCAGCCAACACAATTACCAATCTCATCCTGGATCTGTTCAGCCACATAGGGGACCTTGTAGAGGAGGGACAGACTCTGGTTCATCCGTTCTTCAATCACATGGAGGTGGGTCATCACCTGCAATGCACCGGAGACACACAGGAGATAAATTATCATAGAATGGAGTCCTTGTAAAATAAATGAAGAGTG